TTTTTTTTCTTTAAAATATAAAAATTTATTATTTTATAATCATTTTATCTTTGTAGTGTATATCAAATTAATGTTAATGCATGTTATTTTACCATTTTTTTAAAATTAAATTTAGAATTTTATGTAATATGTAACATATTTAATAAATACATATTATTTTTGGGATAACAAGACTTACCATATTGATGTTAAATTATAAATTTTTTAAAAATATTTTATTTTACTATTGATATTGAATATATATTTTGAATCAGATGCAATCCATATGTATCCTGATTTTGAATTGTTGGTGTGAGAGCAGGTTTTGTTACATCAAAAATAGCATGTTGCGGTCAAGGTCGTTTCAATGGGATAGGATTGTGCACTGTAGCATCAAACTTGTGCCCAAATCGTGACACATATGCATTTTGGGATCCTTATCACCCATCTGAACGTGCTTTAGGGTTTATTGTCAGAGACATCTTCAGCGGAACTTCTGATATTATGACTCCAATGAACCTTAGCACCATCATGGCCATAGACTCCAACCTCTATTAAGAGTTCCCTCAATTAATTTACTTATTTCCTCAGTGTGAGCTAGTGAGGCAAAAGCTTCATTATCATTGTAATTGTAGTGTGCTGTGTGTGTTTTCTATTTTGGTGTATGTGCAAGTGCAACATCACTTCTAGAGTTAGTGTAGTTACAGTGGAATGAATATGTAAGTTAATTCTAAAATCTACAAGTAAATTTTGAATAATTTATGCTTTGATGAATCCACTTATTGCATAGACTTAAGGCACTTATACAGAACCTTTTAAGTCTTATTGACATTGCCTTAGAAATAATCTTATAGGGTCTATACTCTTTTAGCCCTTGTGGATTTTTTGGTTTAGTGTTACAAAAGATGGATTGCTTTCCCTAAAGCCACTTCCTAGCACACTGAAAATCATGCACTGCTTCCATTACATTCCCTTTATTATGTTTCCAAAACACCTTTATAAATCCAAGATTGAACCCATCTGAACTTGAGCCTTTTGTGCTCTAACAATCCCACACCATCTCCTTTATTTGCAATTCCCAAAATATGTTTGTTAATATGATATGATACCATAGATAGAAACTTTACATTTCTTATATATGAATGTCCAAAATTTTACATCAATTAAATATCATACTAATTTATAAGTAAAGAAAATTATTACCTTATAAACCGAGTTTATAAATGTCACTTAGAGTTAAACTCACTCCATGATAATCGATTAGAAGAATTGCAAAATGGTTAATTTTATTCTAAAAATTTCATTTATCGAAAATCACTATTGGTCACTATCTTATATCAAATATTATTATAGGCCAGATGTATCGAACATTATCATCTCAGAAGAGTACATCAATTTTTACAATGAGGTATAATTTATAAACTAATTTCCTAATAAAAGATTAAAATACATCATAATGTTTAAGAAATATAAAGTATAGTGATATGATGATAATAAAGTCTCTAACTAGATCCAAGGACATATTGAAAGTTGAAGATTAAAACACAAACAACAGAAAAAAAAATCACGGCACCTGAAGTTTGTATGGACTAGACACGTGAATTGACCTAACAGGAACAAAACCTTCATGCAATTTTGTAAACGAAAATGGCTATACTTAATATATTATGAAAAATAATTACTAAGATTCATGGCTAAAGGGATAATAATAGTAGTGATGATGAAAATAGGAATTGTTCATTATTTCTCGATTCCTTAGTTTCCCTCGTCTCATGTGTTTTTGGTTAATTTAGAGTTTTCGGCATTGTTAGTCTTTTATATTTGTATAAGATACTTCAGCGTTTAAGTAAATTATTGACAAATAAAGTTTGTAATAAATGTAGGTTAAAAAGATTACAACTATTTTATTTGGACTTTTTATTTATAGTACTTTTAAATAGGTTTAATTGCGGTTCTAATCATTCAATAATCTTCTAAGAGTAAACCAAGGCTTATGCACTACAAGGAAGCTCTTAAATAATAACCAATTTTAGTAAAAAAAATATGTTTAGAAACCAATTTAGAGACCAATTACCTAATTAGAGATTAATTTAGAGGCCAATTCCTTTGGTAGCTAAAACCTTGATAGTTGTTTTGGAGAGTATGGTCGAGGTCAACTCCCACAAATACTAATTGTTAAGACAAGATTGTCTATAATACTAAACTGTCTAAACGCTCTCATGTGTTTTGAAGTTTAATAAATAACATTAAACGAAATGAGCATATGACGGTGTTATCATCAGAATAACAACATAGGTAAAATACAAGTGATTGATGAATATAATGAGAAACTGAATTACCTTAAGCAAAGCCTTAGTGAAACATTTAGGTATGAACAAGACACATCACTAAACGATTCTAAAATTAATGCGTCAATGAAAGTCTTGCTAAATGCAAAGGTTATACATCACTAGACGATAACTAAAC